ATATATCCAAAACCAATCTATTGTGAATGTCATATATAGTGTAAAATCCATACATTTGAATAATGATACTCATATTTTCAGTCAAATTTTCAGGTGAAAAAATTCCAAAGGATGAATGCTTATGATCTCAATGTGTTAATTTGCTGATATGCGACTTTGGACAAATGCAGGGTATAGTTGTCAATTATGCTGAACAACAATTCAATAAACAAACAGAGCCACCAAGAAAATCAACAAACCTTTCTGACAGAACTATTCTTTTCCTCAGTAATTTTATGTGTTAGCATGTACAGTTTTGTGTGAAATACCAGACATGCTTACATTTTGAGCTATGGTCAAAAAAGAAAAACATGAAATGGCTGATTACAACTGTACTACCATTAAAAGGGCATCTAAGAGAATCACAAATGAATCTTTTGCCATATTATAAGTTCTATTTACAAAATATACAACACATATCATTTCTTTTCATTTTCCATCATTTCACAGACGAAATATTCAAAAGAGAATAGTGCAACAGCACAGCACTGGTTACACAGTTTACCATGTCTTCATGGGCTTTCATCCATTTATAACAAATACTCACGACTAAAAACACTAAACTCCAAGTGATCAGAACAAAGTAAGAAGAAACATACAAGAAAATGTTCACTTCCTTCAGTCTAACAATTTAGTTCAGAGGACTTAATTTTAAGACAATGGTCAAAACAAAGGTCTTATTACTTGAGTGAGTGAGTTTAGTTTTCTGCCGCTTTTAGCAATGTTCCAGCAATATCACGGCAGGGGACCCAAGAAATGGTCTTCACACATTGTACCCATGAGGGGAATCAAACCCAGTGTGAAAGCTTCGGTGTGAAAAGCGAATGCTTTATTCACAAGGCTACCCCACCACCCCAGGTCTTATTGGATTTATTAAAGGGCGCTTGTGCTACGAATACTGATACCATACTGCAACTTTAATTAAAACCTCTTGTCATATATCAGCTGGAATCACTGTTAGGAACAGGAATGTGTACTTTCAGCTTTAATGGTCCTATGGATTCTGCAGTAATGATGTTTCAGGAAATGGATTTGAGGGTATTTAAGAGCATGGTTTCAACATGATAATGGTCAAATATATGTCACGTAACATTAAACAACAAACTACAATGGCTTCATAGGCTGAGAGTGAGGTTTTCTCCTTTAAAAGTACTTATCACAATCAAGTTGAAAGATGGGAGGGCCTGTTAATGTATATAGAAACCACTTTCCTAGTTAGACCTGTCTTGAGATTTTACTTCCCTCAGATCGGACCCAAAGTCACACTTTCAATGAAAAATAAGACCTGCTTTGACATGCATTTATTAACAGTGTCAATTGATATCAATGAGCATATGGTCTGTGATAGTATGCATTGCCCTTTTGTTGGTGCATATGCAATGTCACTAATGCAAGTGCAAGCAGATTAATGAGTGTTAGACGAGCCTGCTTGTAACCTGGGTGCAGAAATAAAAATATACATCTTTGATCCATGAGTATCAATCTCAGAAGATGTTGATTTATAAATCAGTTCATGACCTCGAACTTGATCTTAGCAAGAGCTGTATAATCTCATGAGATTGCCAGAAATGAAACACCTTGGGCCAGTTAACCCTGAATCATTTCACCCTTTCCCTTTCAGGTAATTACAGTCCGTTTGAGACAAAATGATACTGATGAATTGCAGTCTAACACAAAAACAAATAGACATAAAAGAATCAAACCAACGTGGAGTGCAATAAAAACAACAGACCAACTGTAGAAAAAAATTGCATAATTTTTGTCACAAACATAAAAAAGTTGTTTAACTCCTTAAGCCCGAGAGCCACCTCACTACTCAACACCTGGAACCCCTCGCTGATTGCCCCCTCACTGTGCCAAGACTAATTAGTGCTAATCACACCTGATTTCCCTGGCAGGTTTCGGGGATGACAGGAAACTGTGTAGTTGTACAAACAAGTCCTGATTGTTTAATTGTGTAGTAAAGATATATGTTGAAAGAAAGCATGTGTGAATACATGTCGTGTATTGCAAAGTTTTATGTAATTTTATTGCAAGTTTCTGTTGTAGACCTTTGGCGGCTTGTACATTTATATTTTATCACAATATGCATGTATACTTTGTATGTAAGAGATGAGACACACATAAACAAATTCTCTCTCTCATATCATTGTGTGAGGTTTAATTTTACATAACATCTATGACAATGACATACTGTAAAGAAGAATTTACTTACATACTTTATAATCTTCGACGAAAATAGCGTTTTGCCGATACATTTCTATTGTATACAAATTATTTTAATGAAAGTACTAAATAACGCTAGTCTGTGACTAACATAGAGGACACTCATAGCTTGGAACTTTGTTTCATCTAGATTTAATGCAGAAAACATACGTGACCATACCAACATACATATAAAAAATGTATACTACATATTCCTTGCATAGACATAAAACAAAGAGTCACGGGATAGGGTGTCATCAAATTTCCCGAATAGAACGTTCTGTATCTCAACTGTTCAATATAGTGGCTGGTCATATGTTATCTGTGACCAATCGTATCATGAGATATCTGTCACAGAGGAAAGGACAGGTGATGGGCGAAATTTCTGAAGAGCACGGATAGAGCTTGGATAGAGATTGATTATTGGCTATATCGTTGACCAGTCGATATGCTGGGTTTCGGCTTTGTCAACTCAAGCTATCATGTAACAGTTTGTGTATTGTAAACATACACACTGGTAACGATTATGAAATATACACATAAGACAAATAGGAGTAGATAGACACTTTGGCGAGTTTATTTGTCTTCATTTTAGTGTTTTTCGATAATTAAAACAAAGCGATTGAAATCCAACCATTGAGTAGAGATAGTATTTATTTTCATATACATTTTACGCACACAACTAGTACATAAAACATAATGGTTTGCTGTACATGTAAACATAATCTTCACCTTGATATGAATGAATATCCAAACTAAAGTACACGTATTATGGAATTCACGAAGTGACACTATATTGAATTATTATAGTGTATAAACTTGCAGTTGAAACACACCCCACCCCCCGCTATTCGCGTTGTTCCTTTAGTTGCCACTGCGCCCTTGTAACAAACTTGGAAAACGCACAAATAAATGATGACAGTTTCTTAAACAACTTTTTTATTTTTGTGACAAAAATTATGCCATTTTTTTCTAGAGTTGGTATGTTGTTTTTATTGCACTCTGCGTTGGTTTGATTCTTTTCTTTCTGTTTGATTGGCATTTAGAAGTTGGTGACTAATAGGAAAGTAAGATTGTTCATGGATATGCGACGTCGCATCATATATAGTAAAAGAAGTTGTTATCCATAAACAATCTTACTTTCTTTTCTGTCTATTTGTTTTTGTGTTAGCTTGCAATTCATTGATATCATTTTGTCTCAAGTCTCAAACTGACTGTAAATAAGCCTACCAAAACCACACTACGGGTGTGGCCAAAAAGTTTTGTTTAGCAAGTGTAAGCATGTCTGTTAAACTGTCCACCTGACACATTTCTATTTCAGATTCCCACATTGAACAATGTCGCTTGTCGAACTAGCCATTACACTACTAAGACAAGGACAAATCCTATCAACAATATTACAAGCACACACATCCCTGATGCCATCCATCTGCTCCCTGCCTAGTGATGTGACCAATGACTAGTATTGACCACTGTAATGGACCTTGCCTCCATGGTGGAATACATATGTAGTCCCTTACTTACATTGCCACAACCAGCACACAACATAAAATCACAATTCAAAACCTCACAAATTGTAAGGACACAGATAATTAATTTAATAAAGGACAAAAACCTTTAGCATGAGATGGTCTCAAGATGGCTTGTGTATAATATATGGGGTGAAGAGAGAGTGTTCGAGAAGAGGGATCTGCTGCATTGTTTACATCAGTAATGATTGTGTGTTGACACATATCACAAAGAAAATAATATGACTCAAGACAGTGGAAATGTTCATGAAAATCCAACATATTTATGCGGCAAATACAGCACACTCCCAGCACAATGGAATGTATAGATACATATGTATACAATCTGGCTAAACAGCTCAACATTGATCACAGTCTCAATTGCATTATCAATTCTGTACAAATTTACTGTTTTTCATTCACATTGTGTAACTACTAATGTATACCATACATGATTTCAAGAGGAAACTCAGATACTGCCCGATGCATATGTAATTAATGGTGAATAATACTAACTCAAGGAATGAGAGTGAGTTAACAGCAGCTTGATATGAGAGGATAGCCTGCAGTGATGTATGTCTCTAATGTGTCCCACTGTAAAGAAACCTGTAAGTACAAGTATGATGATGGCAATCTCTACACATAATCAAAGATAAGTGAGATGCGAACTCGCACTCATAGCCCTAGACCACCCATGCCCATGAGTGAGTACATCATGCTGTTAGCCGAACTTGGACTCACAGAATTACAATTTTATCCATTTTTATAATGATTAACATCTGACAGCACTCAGTTGGAGGCGTATCACAGTCAGATTACTTGGCAAGGCAATACATAATGTAACAGGTGTCCCCATGTATTGGCGTCAATAGATACAAGGCTGTCACTGCTTACCTAAGCCAACATTTGGTGAGCAATACATATTTGTGACAAGCAGAAATGTTGTCAAGAATGTATCATGGGCATACTCGGCACTGATGTCTGCTTGGTGATAATTCGGTTTTCAATATCAGAACTTACATTTGAACCCTACATTTGAAAATCTTTTATGTTCTACTTATTTCACTCAGTTTGATATACATATTTCAAATAGTTGTTGTATTATTATCATACCAGATAATGTTCTGAAGCCCTGCACACATCTAAACATTTGATGCAATGATTTCAGTTGATTGCTCAACATTGTACCACTGCAGGTATACATATATGTTGTTCTCAGGCAGATTTCTACTCGAAACTTTCTGTTTCAAACAGCTTCAACAAATGTTATGGCAGGATATTGATTCACCCATTTGTTCTATACCATTAGTTTTGGGTTGTATACCTTGAGCAATATCCCCCCAAATACACATGTAAAATAGCTTCCATTAAATTTTTTTCTATGGTTAAACAAATGGTTTATTTAACTTGCGACTACATGTGCTGTAAGATGCACAACTAACCAATAAGCACCCCTCATAACAACCCTCTTGAGCTCGAACCTTCTCCAGGCAATAGCTGATATGCTCACTTGTGGAGAAAGGTAAGTTAAGTGAGCAGCAGGAGGAAGGGGCTTACACCACTTGCTCCTTCTGCTTACTGTCTCCTGCTGCTGCTGCTGCTGTGATGCCTGCCTCCTCCTCCTTCAGTGCTGTCTTCAGCTGAACTACTGCACTATCCGTAGTAGGGCTGCTGATTTTAATCTTCTCATATGACCTGGAAAAAACAATGTCCAATCTCAAAATCATACCTCCTGATTTAGTAGATAACATATTTGTTTTCATGAGTGATACTATAGGTTTAAGTGTTGATTCTAACCTAGCAGCAGCATCATTAAAAACATGATGACAAACATAAAAATAATGCCTTTGAACATGCTACTTCCTTGATTGAGAAACAGGCTAGATATTCAGGCATGAAAGGTTTATCACTTGACTATTGATTAATGTACAGGGAATGTAGAAGGTATTAATGAAAGTGTTTCCCAACAAGGTAGGAAACTTCACTGGTGTAGACTGGAGGATTAACTTGAAAGCTTTCAAAAAGATCCAATAAGGAGAGATTCTGTAAACCGGAAATATTCTGCGCCTAGAAAAAGTCTGTTCTGCAAGGTATTCTTTTGCGTGAGTAGTAGGCTTTGCAAAAACAACATTGTTAACTAAAACTACATTGCTTATAGTTTGGCATGAAATGCATGTTTTTTTTGGACCAATCGATCTCAAACTGTTTTTTGTCAAATATCTCTTCATGCATTTGTATTAAAGAATCCTATGACCCAAAATCGATCTCAAACTGTGCAAGTGGATGTTTAGTCAGACAACACTGCCGCTGTTACAGGTCATTGGCTCCCTCCCTCTGCAAGCAGTTTGCGTTCTGCTGTTTATTTTGTTGACAGTTACATAGACAGATTCTTTAATACAAATGCATAAAATCGGTGATTTACAATGTGATTAGGTTGTCTGACTAAACATCCACTTGCACAGTTTGAGATCGATTGGGTCATGGGATGAAGAGATATTTACAAAAAAACGGGTCCACATGCATTTCATGCCAAACTATAAATATTGTGAAGAAGAACAAAGACTCAGTCATTCGTGGATGGAGGGCATCCGGTATTCTCGATGCAATAATCAGGAAGTAGGCTAATCCACCAGTAAGCTGCTTTTGTTAGAGTATTTGTTATAGGACATGATAATAATATGTATGGTCCTGATATCAGTGGCTATCCGCATGGTAACGTGATACAACAGCGGGAAATACCTCCGTTTTGGAAGCTTCGTACGAATAACATGAGAGGCAATTCGTTTGATGGTGGGTATCATTCGAAAGCTCTGAGCATCAACAATATCACCGTACCCTTGCCAAGAGTATTTTCACAGTTGTAAGAAGCTATTCTATTGGATAAAGATTGGTTTCTAATGACGCTTTTCTGCCACAGTCTGTTATGAGGATCGTGATTGGTCAAAATCATGCACGTGACCTAAGGCAGCTAATCATATTACAGCAATGGACACTGTCCTCGTAAATGAAAACTGTTAGATTCAGACGAAAGTTTTGGGTAAGATCATGCTATTCTGAACGTGTGACACAACAAAATCACCACCTATACGTATATTATGAAACTTAGTGGACATATCGTGCTAGGTTATGACCTGTGACAAAAATGCTTCATGCATATATTTTAGCATTAAACATTGTGTCCGCTAAGTTCAAGGCGATGAAAGCCGAGATGTCACCTGAATTACTTTACACAATCGCACAAAAAAAGATGGAAATAATAAGTTGTAATGTACGTTTGACAACTTTTATGAGTACTGTTATTGATTTTATTCTTAAGTTTATTCAGTTGTTTAAATATTATCTCAAAACATCGTTACTTTACTCTTTGACAAATTTGATGTGGACCCGTTCCCGAAGAATGTGTCAGAAGAATTAAATTTTTTTTAATAACTTTGCATGGGTTAATATTACTACGCCGAGAATGTTTTGCTTGGGGAAGAGAAACACAAAATTCGCAAAATATAATCTGACGCAGAATATTTCTGGTTTACAGTATTACATTATCCCCTCTACTTCTACCACTGATACATTTAACACATGCATGGTGACCCTGGCTACTGTCTGCTTGGGCTGTGCCAGGAATGTCAAGAAGCACAGAACACACAGAGATATTTCTCAGAACGCTTGGTCGTATTCTTCAAGTGGTATCAGCTACAAGTGTTTTCTGATTCTCTCACATGAGCTAGGAAGCTTGGCAAAAGTGATGATAATCTCAACACAAATAGAATAAAAGGGCTATATTGCTATCAGTCCAGATATACAGGTATGTATCTGTTATGTCCATGTTAGTGTAAATGTATCAACACATAAACAGCTCCTGAACTATGTCAGACATTCTCAGAAAATGTAACACAAAATGAACCTGGAAGCAAACTAACAATAAAAGAATTATAGCAAAACCTTCATAACTGAACACAAGTAAACATCACACCTTAATCACTATGTATTCTTACCTTACTCATATACAATGTAGAAATGTTACTACAAATCTTTTTATTGTCATTGTTACAATCAGTACTCATGATACTATCCATCAAACAATCCCTATGGTGTTGTGGTGCCATGTCAGTGTTATACAAGAGAACACCTAAGAATGGAAAGACTACTATCCTCCCCATATGGGATAAACTGTCACCAAAAATCTCGAAATTCCCCAAGATATGAGTACTATTAAATGTGCAGTCTCCTTCAGTAAACTGTTTGGTTCTCCCTTGTCTGTAGTGGTCTGCGTTAACAAAGATCTATGATTCGGGTCACATTTGCCATCAATCAAATGTGAAGTATACTTTTCACAAAAAGTTAGATAAAATTTTGAATAATAACTGTATTCTTAAGCACTTGTCAAGTTATTGAATAGCAAAATTATAACATGCTAACAATAACCAAAAGTTAAAGAAAATACATTGAAAATAACAGAGTTAGAAATATGCTTACTCTTGAAAACAATGTGCAAAATGCACTTTTTGCATGATTTAGAAAATCCAAGTTAATGAATGATTTAACATCATCCAGTTGTATTGGGATGCCCGTACAAGGCGTGAATACACAGCTAGTAAAACCAATGAAGCTAAGAAGATGCTGCTGAGGAATACTTCGCTATTCCATCTAGCGACCATAAACGTTACTCTATCTGGCTGAGGTCTAATGATTGCCTTGACATTTGTCAGCAAAGCCGATTTTTTAAAGAGATTTTCTATAATAATTATATATTCCAAATTACAGGATTTATGGCACTGATGTAACAGAGATTTTGTATTTGTAGGAATTAAGTATGTTTGAAACAACTGTCTTTGCATACTAAAAAGAGGGCTAAGGCTCTGTGCGTCACCTGACTTTGATCTGGACATTACTACTTGATATTTGTGAAAATATATGTAGTGACTTAAAGAAAAGTTGGTGAAAACATTCTAGGGAAAGTGACATGAAGAGAAACCAATGTTTAAGACAACAAACCTGAGTGCAAATAACAATTCCTTGAACCAATGTTGACATTCTTATAGCTATTACATTCACACAAGTCTAAGCCCTGTGCCCTCTGGTTCACATGAACAACATTTTAAAACCTGTAATATGAGGGGTTTTCAAAAAATTATAAAAACTAAAAAATCAACTGATTTTTATGTGATGAGTTGTCTTCTTGACAAGAAACCGTTATGTCAAATGCAGCTCCATCAGATAAGCAGTACCAAAGAGGAAAATATTTAAGATAATGGTAAAAATGCAAAGATGTTTTGGAAGTTTTAAGTACTCTATTCTAAGTTATATGAATACACATTGCCTTTCAGCAAGTGGTCAGAATTGACATATGGTAGATTTTGGGATCACACTTTCTCAGAAAAAAGTACAGATTCTATTTCTTTATTGGGCTGAGTCCCATCCAAGATTCGAACCTACACTCTTTTGCACAAACATGGACTTTCATCACAGCTACAGATAACTTTTTGGGTCATTGAGTTATGTACTCACTTGTGTTCATCTCAATTGGGTATCCTAATTTTTCTTTGAGTAACCAAATAAATTGTACTCACCTCACTCAAACTAAATTGGGTATTTTGCCATTTCCCATTAAATTTGATAATATAGAGAAGTTTAAAAGTTAATGTTTGTTATTTATATTTGATCTGTAATATGAGAAATGATAAGAAAGACGGTAAGTTGTCAAGTTCATGTCCTGAAATAGAACCTCTCAGTATACTGCAGTTATTTTATCTATCCACCGGTACGCAAGCTAAGATTTGACATTTTTGTGTGTACACATGTAAGATCACATTTACTGAATATTTACAAAAAATCAAGCGTACTTGTACGCAATAGACTTAATAGAATTGAGTTTTCACATAAATATTTACATAATTTATGCAGATACGCAGCTTATCTGTACCTCTGCTTTCAATGCCCATTCATTGCTCATGACATCATTCTCATTTCATTGACACCAGCTATCATGCTGCTGAGTTTGAATCAGGTAAAAATACATATCTTTAAAAAATACTTGCAGAAAAGGCTGAATATGTCCAAAGACTGTAAATGGGGTAGGTCTTCTGTGAGAGCATTATAGAGATACCATTCCTAATATTAGTCATGATCAAAGGTCATGTAGTTTCACAGATGTTGAAATTGTAATACCACCAGTGAAACAGGGTAATATGAAAGTCGACTGCCATAGCAGAATAGCAGAATGAAAAAAATCACAATAAGCTAAAACACATATTTTATGGTGCCAGGAAACTACACATATGATGCATATCAAATTTAATAAACTGTGATAATTCTTGCTAAATTAAAATATAATGAACTGGAAGGTGATTTCCAATTTGAAAACAATCATCTGAAATGTGGTCAAATTATTGGTTGAACAAAAATTCCCATGGTTTTTTTAAGTTAAATTTTGTAAATTGCTGTAATTCTTGAGACAATGAAAATCTCATGATCAAATTTTGAATTCCACCTCTCCTGTAAACAAAGAAAGTGGTCCCAAATTTGAAACCAATCCAACCAATAGTTATTGGTTGAACAAAATTGGTTAGTATAACTAGGTCGACCCAAACATTTTAGGTATGAAAAGTATGGTTGTATTATCATGATTATATCATATAAATAAATGATGGAACTTTATTTTTTTACTTTGTTCAGCATGAAAATGAATTATGACATTT